CCCCCCCCCCCCCCCCCCCCCCCCCCCCCCCCCCCCCCCACCCCCCTACAAGCAGTACATCAGTACATTTGTTCACGTATTGTGCACAGTTGGTTTGAAGGAAACTCACATCAGTGACATCACGGCCTGGGTTATATATTTCACACTAATTGCTTGTAGGCCGCGGTTGTCTTTATCAGACATGCTGGTCGTATTAAGAGCAATTACAGTAGCGGCAGTTCTGGTGAGTGTCTCTCCGGTGACTCTCCCCCACACCTGCTCTCTCTGTTTAACATTCATGAATAGTTTAAACCTCCAGCATCTGGCCCAATGCCTTTAACTATAAATCCACACACATACACATACCAATGCATCTGAACTGGTTATTTAGCGTAGCTGTGAGTCTCAAAATGTATGCTCTCTTTGAATGTATAAAACCAGAGCCTGCTAAAAGGTATCTAACTCCACTGGAATTATAGCCCGACTCTCGACACCGTCTCTGGCGTGCTGTTCGTTTTTTTTAAAGCAGTTTACTATGAGCACCTCTTTAGTTTGACTGTTACAGAGACATCAGTCACTAGCAGTATTGCAGCAAGGCTCCCTTGAGGGCCCTCCTACCTTGGCATTTGAATTGTGGAGATGAGGGAAAGACGCCTTGTTAAAAAGGTGGGAGGGCTCATTCAGTGTAAAGAGAATGGCACAAAGGCGACGCTGCAGGCCGTGAGCACACACAAAGCAGCTGATTCTCTGTGGTTTATTATTGGGCCGAATGACAATTTGTAGTGAGGTTGAATTTTGTTATTGGTATGAATCCCTTTCAGACTGGTTCCTTCTGCTCGGTTCAGATTGGTTCAGTCATGTGTTGCTCTTTCTACTCGGCTTCGTTTTGGGACCCACACCGAGGACTTGCTAAATCGAGCGTACACAAGTCTATTCTAGCAAATAATGTGATGTGCTTTTTTACCTCTCGACTAAATGCTTTTCTCAAAGTGTTGCTGGAGTCCGAGTTTACTCTCAAGGCACTACGAGGATGGAGATTGCTGTTAGGTGGCCATTCTAGGATTGAACTTCAATCATATTGTCATGTGACTTCAATGCGAAGTGTTTCACAAAGTCATTTTGGAGTCACTGCTTTGGGTTTGTGCTGGTAACCCCCTGATCATTGCTCTCATCCACCGAGGCAAGCATTTGTTAGTAGTGTAAATATTATTTTTTTAGCTCGTCGTAGCTTAAGTCAAATTTACATGTTGTGGGATTACCGTTACATTCGAAAACCCACGTCATGCCTCCGAGCTCATGATGCAAGCACAGTACAAGTTGTTAGTCCGTATGGAAGAAGCGGTGGTGGTGAAACCTGGACAACATGTTGTAGGTTTTAGTCGCCCAACTTTAAAGTTTCCTTCAACCCCCAGACATGAAGTGCCAGACATATCTAAGTCTATTGTTAAGACCGATTTATATTGAATGTGGGGTTATTTCGTCTTTGTGCATTGCACTTATCTTTTGTGTTTTGTAGTATTTGTGTCTACCTGCCAAGAGACACCTGATGGAAAAGCACTGCCAAAACATGCATTACTATGCCAGTGTGAAAACAACGCTGTAGCCAAAATGATGGTCAAGTGAAGAGAATTTTTCTTCATACTAATGGAATAATTCACATTCTTTTCACCACTGGTAGAGAGTGAACTCAAGGCAAAACACTTGACTTGTCCTGAAAATTCAAACCAACGAGGGAACAAAAAATACAAACGGAGAAGAAGCGAGTGGAGACTTGATGGTGCTGCTGCAGTGTTCTTTGATGTTTATGTGCATTCTGAAAATACTGTATGGGTACTGATTTTATTCTTATTATCATTCAGTGGGTTATATTCTCCATGTTATGCATTCTATGTATTCTATTTCATCTCATTTCCATCTTATTTTACCTGTTTGTATGTTCACTCTGTCTATTTTCCCTCATTGTGAAGCATTGAGCTGCATTTCTTGTACGAAAGGTGCTATACAAATACCGTTTATTGTTATTATTAGTATTCCCTTTCGAAATGTTGATACTACTTTCTGAAGAAGTAGCAACAACACAATTATGAAAATCCAGTACAGTGACATTTAAGAGTAAGAATGAGCCTGAGTGTCTGCTGTTTCTCTTTTATCTTTCCCCCTCCTGTTCTCTACTTTCACTCTTTTATTATTGGGTCCGGCGTTGTATTGGTTAACTCCGATTGATGTGTGATTTTGTTTTCGGACTGTTGCAGTGGGTGCCAGTGCTGTTGGACTTCCAGCGGAGGGAAACGATTTGGAGCTTTGTGCCAGAGAAACCCAGCCAACCCCTGGCCCTGCACTTCGGGGACTACAACCTGGACGGCTTCCCTGACGCCCTGGTGGTCCTCCGCAACACCAGCGGCAGGTAGGACAGATCTTTGTTTGGTGTTCTGAAGAAAAAAACACTTGCGTGCGAAAAGTTGAGCCATCATCAATCCTTTCGGATGGTACACACACACACAAGGTAGCGTGGGCTTCGCTTCCTCTGGGACCTTATTTAAGGTTAACGTCGAGTAAATGAATGAGATATTTCTGAAATTAAGCTAATCCTTGCTTGGCAGGGGATCCCTTGGAATCCTGTCAAGTCGGTCCCTGAACCCCACTCCAACTAACCGTTTCAGTGCTGTGCCTCGCTTCATCGGTGCAGAGGCCCGCTGTTTCAGGATGTCCAGGGACTGCACATGTAGCACACAGTCACGTATAGACGGCGGTTGCTTTGTTATTACTCGTGAATGAATCACGGATTTCATGCGAATCCATATCGCCTCATTGCCCACAAACTATCGCTTCATTTGTCGCCCACATTCAGATGTGTTGCGTAACAGTCCACGTTTTGATGAGATTATACTAACTATAGTATTCTAGATTGATTGGAACCTAATAACTCAAGATGCGTACTTAAATGGCTTATGTAAATCCGTTTAGCTTCAAAACTAGATTTTTCTTCTTTTTTGTGAGACACCACACGAGGACGGATTTACTCATTAAAGGACTGTACTTGTTCTCATGCTGGGGGGGAGGAAACATGTCACCCTGTTGATATAAATGATCAAACAAAGTGAGGCAGGGATGATGAAATGTAATGATTTAAATAAATGCAACTCATGAATATACATTCTAATGCTGATGCACATAGGTAAAAGAAAATGTTTAATTTAAGTGTTTTTCAAAATGGTTTCTGCAGTTAAGATTACAACCTGTGAGAAACAGCTCCCTTACACTCTGCATAGCAATATATTCAAAGCACAGAAGTTTTCAAAAGTTGATTAATTAAAATCTTCTCTCATTAATAAACCATAAGATATCAGCTGAAGTGTAAATCAGGCATAAATTAAGGTGATTGCTGACTCTTTGACATTCATGACACAGTGCAAAACAGTCGTTGACTGCAGGATACGAAGCTTTGAAATGTTTTGCACGGCGCAATGGGAATCTGTGACATTGTGGCATAATGAAGACGTGATTACCATCCAGTTTACTAGAGAACGGAGTGGGAGAGAAAACAGCTAAGGTGAGCGTGTTCTTCAGCTCGTGGACAAGGCAGCTGATAAGCCAGTCCTTCTAAAAATCACCACGGACACTAGGGGGGGTGTGTGTGTGTGTGTGTGGACGGACGGACGGACGGACGGACGGACCTATGTGTGGATTATCTGGACTCAGAGATGAAGATAAGATAGCTGAAGGGGTCATGGCTGTGATTGTCTATGCATACTGATTGTTTCGGGTGTGTGTGTGTGTGTGTGTGTGTGTGTGTGTGTGTGTTTTTGAATGCTGGTGTTGTGTTGGGAATAGTAAGATGTTGGGTAATATCTTCAAAATATTTTCACACACACATAGATGCGAACCCTACTTTCTTTTTGTAATCAGCAGTAAGTCCTGTCGGGCTTAACCCTTTGTAGTCGCCCTCATCTAGAAATGACGTCTGTCTCAGCAGCTGTAATCACACAAGCTATAGCTTCTCTTTACATTTTCTTTTCTCATTTTAAGCCGGAGCATTGTAATCCCACACTGGTCCGTGGACGTGATTGCGGAAGTGCTCCCCCCGATATAGTCTGACCCTTTTTAAAACCGTCTTCATCATCATCATCATCATCATCATCATCATCATCATCATCATCATCATCATCATCATCATCATCATCATCATCATCATCATCATCATCATCATCATCA